GTCTAGACATCTTTCTTCTGTCTTCAAGTGAGGTCCACTGTAGGTTTCTTTTCATTTCCGTGACACTAGCACCTCTTACATAGTTGTTCATACAGAATCTTGCAGCTTGATTCTGTACCCTTTCCAATTTGTCTTTGTCTTTCTTTGTATATGGATCCCATACTGTCGCAGCGTATTCTAGGTTCGGTCTTACAAGTGACGTGTATGCAAGTGATTTTACTCTCGTTGGACATGCCCACAGATTACGTTTAATCACTCCCAATGTCTGTTTCGCCTTAGTTGTGATATTATTAACATGTGCACCCCACTTCAGTCCGCTTGTCAGCGTGACGCCCAGATACGGATGGATTTTTGTGGTTGCTAAAGCCTGACCACAAAACTGGTAGCTAGTTGCATGTGGTGTTCGTTTGTTTGTTATGTGCATAATGTAGCATTTTTCGGGATTAAACTGCATGAGCCATTTGCTTTGCCATTCTTCCAGGGTGTTCAGGTCTTTTTGGAGAAGTTGTGAGTCGGTCTGTGTAGACAGCTCTACATACAATAGACAGTCATCGGCAAATAACCTCACATTTGAGTCAAGCTGATCTGGTAGGTCATTTATATACAAGAGAAAGAGCAATGGCCCCAGGACGGTTCCTTGAGGGACCCCAGACGCTACTTTAACTGGAGCCGACGCCTTCCCTTCAACCACTACTGTTTGCTCCCTGTTGGTCAGGAAAGCCTTTAACCAATTCAGCGTAGGGCCTTGGATTCCATAATACTCCAGTTTTGAGATGAGCCTGCCATGGGGGACTTTATCAAAGGCTTTAGTGAAATCAAGTATTGCTAAATCTACCTGCCGTTTACTGTTTAGTGCGCCAGCTATGTCATGGACTGTTAGTATAAGCTGTGTTTCTGTGGATCGTTTGGCTCTGAATCCATGCTGGTAATCCGTTAATATACTGTAACTTTCTAGGTGCTTCATGATTTGGCTATGGATGATATGTTCAAGTAGTTTGCAGGATATGCAGGTCAGTGAAACAGGTCTGTAGTTGCTGGGGACCGCTCTATCTCCTTTTTTAAAGATGGCGCATATATTTGCATCCCTCCAATCTTTAGGGATTTCTGCAGTGTTTAGCGAGTGTTGGAAAATATTGGTTAGAACAGGCGCGATTTCACTAGCTGTCAACTTGAGGAACCACGGTGGTATTTGGTCTGGTCCGGATGCTTTAGAGGGATTGAGACCTTGAAGCATTTTTTCGACACCATCAGTAGAAACTACTATATGTTCCATTGGAGGAGTACAGGGCTGACCTAGAGATGGCATATCTGTGGTGTCTTCCTCTGTGAAAACACTTTTGAACTGTGAACTGAGTACTTCTGCTTTTTCCCGCTGTCACTGATGATGGTATTTCCCACCTTTAGGGGTGCTACCCCGACAAGGTCTTTCCTCAGTCCTTTTATGTACGACCAGAATGTTTTGGGTTTGTCAACTATAGCTTCTCCCAGTATGTCTGCCACGTATTTAGAGTGTGCTTGTCTTATGCTTTTCTGAACTCCCTTCTTAACTCTCTTATATTTGTTCCAGTCTTCCTCTTGGCCTGTTTTCTTAGCTTTGTTATAGAGCCGCTGCTTCTTACGACAGTGCCTCCTTAGGTTTCTGTTGAACCAAGGCAAGTTGTATCTGCTTGATGTTATCTTACTTGGGATGTGCTTGTTCATCGTGTCTTTCATTTTGTCTTTGAAGTCTGACCACTTCTGTGTAACTGACATATCCTGAGTTCTTTTGTGAAAGTTAGTTGCATAATCCGTTAGGTCTTTCTTAATGGCTGGTTCGTCGGCTTTTGTGCGGATGTACACTTTTCTCTTAGGTTTCCTGTTTTGTTTCAGTGCCAGGTTAACGTCCACTAGAACCATGTCGTGGTCACTTATCCCCGGGACAACTGTGGTCTTCTCAATTATGTTGGGGTTATTAACTAAGACCAGGTCCAAGAGATTACCATTTCTAGTTGGTTCCTGGACTGTGCAATTATGCAAATGATGACCTAATTTGCATAATTATTTCGAAAATTATGATTTCTTAATGGTGAATGATGGCAATTCTGTGCCTTGTGACATGTGTAGGTTACTTAAATGTTAACAACACTATGCATATATTATGTTAATATAGAGGCAATTTGCATAAATAATGAGGATGTTTAAATGAGGATGTATAAATGAAATATTGCCAAAGGATAGGAGTTTGACACGAAAAATATGGTAAGTTGAGTTTAGAACACAATACTGTACATTATATCAAGTGCCACCTTATTTCCATATTCAATGAAACAAAACATTTACATAAACTCTACATATTTCATGGAGGTTTGAAATCTCAGAATTCTTGTTTTTGGTATGTAGGTAGTTGAAGTGATGCTTGACATAATCAAATGACAATTATGCAAATCGGGAGCTAATTTGCATAATTAACGAGGAAATTCTATAAATATGCTTTTTTCGATAATAGAACTATGAAACACTTGTGACATCTACTTGAGAACGAGAAAAAACATCTGAGGATATAGATTATGCAAATGAGGACCAAATTTGCATAATTAATGTCATATTTTTATAATTTCATAGTTGTAACTGCTGGGAATTTCATACTTGCCACATTTGGAAGTTAAGTGAAGGTGAACATCAATAAACATAATTTAATCAAATTAAGACATAATATATGCAAATTATGCAAATGAGGACCTAATTTGCATAATCAATCAGAAAATTCTATAATTACAGTGTTTTATATAATAGTATCTCTCTCTCTCTATATATATATATATATATATATAGAGAGAGAGAGAGAGAGAGAGAGAGCAATCACTCGATAATCTTTATTTGCAATCAGATACAGATTCATGTACAGATACATATTCATGCACAGATACAGATTCATGTACAGATATACAGATACAGATTTTTCCGTGTAGGATGACCGTGTCATCCCTACACCTGAGCGAGGGTCACAGTTGACACGGTGGCCTTCGCGTGGATTTGTTTAAGGTGGATAACAGGTTGCGAATCTTAGACCCACACACTTGGGCATCCGTCTTCCCCAGCGGATCCATATTGAGGGAGACGTGCTGGTTCCGGTTGGGATGCTTGCAGCGAGCTGTCGGATGACTTGGTTACGCTCAAGTTCCGCCTTGACTACCCCGGCCCGCCTGGCGCTGCTCTCGTCCGCCAGCTGAAGACAACTGCCGTTGGAGACGTGTCCCTCTATTTGAGGGGGGGTACGTGTAAAGTGCCTTTCCCAATGTTCGGACATGCTATACATGTAATCTATTTAATCTGTGGCAGGCGGAACATCAAAGATACCAATTATGCAAATGACTACATAATTTGCATAATTAATGTGAAAATTTTGTGACTCCATATTGGCGAATGATGGAAATTTTGTACCTTGTGACATATATATGAATGAATGAATGACTGGTTTATTAGGTAAAACATTGCAGCCCGTCAGGCTGAAATACGTTCTACTTACATAGTACATGAAAGTACGTTTCATCACTTATATAGGACACAACTCAATATGACGAATAGCATAAAATATTACATAGTATTAAAATGTCGATTAAAATAAAATCTTACAATAACAAAACATCTGAGTGTGGTTGATTTACAACGTATTATTTGTTCGTGTTAAGCAGACTCAGTAGAGACGGTACAGGGCTGTTTTGAAATCTAGAAGTGCGGCAAGGCGCCAGTGTCATTTTGTTAGAGTTTCTAAGGTTCCTGCCGTGCTCCTGTCGCCGTGTGTTGGGGAGGAGATCAGCTGTGCGCTCCGATGTTGTCATGCTGTGTGCAAACTTGGTGCAGAGGACCGCCCGTCTCTTCTCGAGTGTTTCAAGTTTGCACATCTGCAGCCCCGTGGTGTAGTCTGTATACTTCTGACTCAAGATAATCCGGCATGCACGTTTCTGTACTCGTTCCAGTGTTGCAGTTTGTTTGCGGGTAAGTCCGTGATGCCACACTGGTGCGCAGTACTCAAGGATCGGTCTTATGAAGCCACAGTACACTGTTACAAGGTCCTCCACTGGGACTCCAAATGATTTAAGTCTGCGTAACATGAACAGTCGCTTGTTGCCCTTCTTTGTTGTTTCACTCACTTGCGTGTCCCATTTTAGGTTCGACTGAAGCCAGACACCTAACACCTTGGCGATTTCCACTGTTCTTAGGGGGTTACCGCAAAGACTGATGGGTACAGGTGGACTCGGATTCCTCATAAAGCACACTGTGAACACCATGCACTTTCCGGGGTTGAGTTTCAGTTGTGCACTTTCAGACCACTCCGCTAGGGAGTTAGCTTGGTCTTGAAGGTGGGATTCTTCGGAGTTGTGTCTGTTCTCTCCCAGCGATAGGTCATCCACGTATTTCCACCGATCATTGAGTGATTGACAGGCATCATTTATCATGCAGAGGAAGATGATTGGCCCCAACTTTGTGCCTTGTGGGACACCGGTGGTAAGAGTTTCACAGTCTGAGAGTGACTGTCCATACCGGACTCTTTGTCGTCTTTCTGTGAGAAAGTCCACTATCCACGGCACAATGGACGGTCTTGTCTCCATGTTAAGTAGCTTCAAAATGGCCTGATGGTGGTTGATGGTATCAAATGCCTTAGTAAAGTCCGTTAATAGGATTGTTCCCACGTTTTTGCTTCTTTCAGCACCTTGGTAGAGAAAGTGGGTGAGACTAATCAGGTAGTGGTTGGTCGAACTTCTCTTGATCCCCCCAAACTGACGTTTGTCGATGTTGTTCCATATGTCTGACAGCACCCATTTTCCTACGATGCCTTCGCAAATCTTCGCAAATATTGCAGTCAGAGATATCGGACGCAACTTGTCGATGACTGCTGGCAGTTCCTTGGGGATAGGCGTGACTACTGCTTCCTTCCACTGGGCTGGAACTGTACCTGCTATCAGTGAGGTGTTAAAAATGTCAGTGAGTGGTTCTGCGAGTTCACATGCGAACATTCTAACCAAACGGGGAGCGATACCGTCCGGACCTCCCGCTTTACGAACTCTGACTCGGGACAGCTCTCTGTACATCTCCCACGGCATGATCTGTGGCGGTGGGGAGGGTGCAGGTAGGTAGGCTGGTAGATCGCTGGTGCACACCTCTGGGGACTGCTGGGAGATCGACGACAGGTGTTTGTTTATCGCGTCTGCGACAGCCTTGTGGTCGTCCGGGGCGACGTTTGGGACGTGGATGGCACTGGGAGGTTTTACTACGTTGCACACAGACTTCAGCTCCTTGTACCATTTTACTGGGTCTTCTGTTTTCAACTGTTGAACTTTGTTCACGTTGTTCATATAAGTTACTTAAAGGTTAACACCACTATGCATATATTATGTTAATGTTTAGGTCATTTGCATATTTAATGAGTACATGCCATTTACAAAAACTTATATATTTCATGGAGGTATGAGATCTACGAATTCTTGTTCCTTTTGTACATGAGCTCCCGCTCCACAGTCTATAATGACACCCTACATGTAGAGTCAGTAGATGTGGGGTATGCCGATGATGTTGGCCTGTCCAGGTCAATCCCCTGTCGGTCATGTGGCGTAGACAACACTATGTCAGCAGAAGCGTTGTAACTCGATACGTGGGCTGGTCAAAATAATATGATACTGAACGGGGAAAAGAGTCAGCAGTTGCAGATCTGCTTCAGTAGGAACATTCCTGTACCCCCACCCTTGTCTCTTGGAGGCGAACTTGTTCCTGTTACAGCAACTGCAAAGGGCCTCGGGTTTACTTTTGACAGCACTTTATCCTGGCAAGCACTTGTAAAGTCAGCAGTTTTCAAGGCCTCTAGCAGGTAGTCTCCATCAGACTTCTTTTGCGGGGTGAATAAATCGTAGAAATCGGCCTAAAAAGGGTATTAATTGGCCAGAGAAGGTAGCCGGCAAGAGAAGCTCCATTTCCCCGCCAAGAAGACTATCCAGCAGGCTACATTATTTGCGGTTATTGACAAAACAAGGAATGAGTGTCGCCGACTGGAGTATGGTGACCGTCATGTTTTGCTCGTTGGCTGTAGCGTGGCTGTAGTGAGTCTAGTGACGAGCTGTCCACAAGTATGGAACGAGTACAAAAACGCGCTGTGCGCATCATTTCCCTCGGGGGAAAGCGAACAGTCCCAAAGCTCCCTTCTTCATTGTTTATGAAGCAGACCAGATTCCTATTACAGTTAGTAGAACGGTTAGATATTCTCAACACCACGATATGTGTATGTTAATACCACAAACTATGTATGTATCATTTTGCCATACGTTGTACCTGCTACATCTGTTGCGCAATAAAGTTCTTCTTCTTCTTCTTTGAAAGAAAGGAGGGAAGCGTCCGCTTTGAAGCCTGAGCACCCACTACATGACCTAGTGCCCCCCCAACGGTCCACAGCTACAGGTAGATGTTTGCGGAACGACAGTGCCTTCACTGTGCCAAAAGCCAGGACTGAGCGGCTGAAAAGGTCATTTGTTCACTGTGCGGTAAAACTGTACTACGAGTCTGTTTCATAAGTACGGTGGCCCCTAAGTACACTTAATATTTTTATGCCACTTTTATTTTCTATGGGTTACTTTTATTTTCTATGGGTACTTTTATTTTCTATGGGTACTTTTATTTTCTATGGGTCACTTTTATTTTCTATGGGTACTTTTATTTTCTATGGGTACTTTTATTTTCTATGGGTACTTTTATTTTCTATGGGTCACTTTTTATGGGTTCACCACACCACGAAGTGGTGGTGAACCTATATTGCTTTTTCTGATGTTTCTTCTTCTTCTCCTCCTTCTCCTCCTTCTCCTCCTGCCATTTTTTAAATGGATTCAGCTTCTTCATTTTAGGGCCTAAGGTCCTGAAATTTGGTATGGAGGTACAGTGGGCAAATACCCCTAGGCGTTTTTTAAATTTTTGTGATACAGGCTTTTAGAATGGTTTTATTTGAGTTTTTTGGCTGTGTTATAGCAAATGTATTACTGTGTTAGTGTGCCGTGTTTACCACGTCTGGGCATGAGTCATCACAATGGAATGCAGGGCATCAACCAATAGGCATGCAGCTTTCCTCTATACTTCTTGCTGATTGGCTGTTGGGATTTAACTTGATTAACACCTGCACAGAGCATTTCCACCTGCACAGAGCATTTCTTGCTGATTGGCTGTTGGGATTTAACTTGATTAACACCTGCACAGAGCATTTCCATACTGACAGTATGTCTTTA